CATTATATTTTGGATAATTTTATATCTAGTAAGAGAAGTTTCTATTGCGGTCACAAGTGATGCGGATGTCCGGGTGAAAATAAACAATGTATTGAGAGTTACAGAGATTGAAAAGTCGTCAACGTTATAATTTATAGCTTAGATCATGTTGTTGATTCAGACAATAAGAAATTTAATTATTTCCTTCCATGGATTTATATAAAAAATTCGCGTTTTCTTGAAATTTTTTTTTAGCAAATATTTCGTCACTTTGGTCTTATTAATTGCATGAAATTATAAACTTTTAAATTTGTGTTACACATTGATACTGTCGTTTAATTAGGAAACGTGAGATACATTTGGACATCGGGCCGTAAGTGCAACTTCAACGGCTGCGACCGAGCAGATCTTCAGCCCCAGAACGTTAACGGATGGTTCTGGTCCGGATCTGGCGCCAAGATCGGGCCGACAAGCCAGCGTAACTCCGGAGACTGGAGCAACACCGGAGGATACGGTCAACCACAACCAGACAACCGCGAAGCTGCACAGGTACTACATTTTTTTCACCTTTAAAGTTCTTATGTTTTTAATATTTGGATAGTTACATCATATATAATACCAAATAATTTATATGTAAACGAGGACTTTCATATGTTATTTTGCAAATAGATTGTTTAAATAAATTATAAATTTAGATAAAGAAGGAATTATAATTGTGACTTTGCCAAGCGGGGTAATCGGCTTTAACACACTTTCTCAGCGCACGTTTGGCGCTGACCTCGTGAAACTTTGATTTATATTCTTGTAGGATAGAGAGAGTGAAAGTACTTTGGCATCTTCGGATTTATTGCTCTCATATGTGACCTTTAATATATTTTTGTCAGTGTCTCGCTCTCTCAACTTTGCTGTAAATTAGATGTAGAAACTGTATATATTTGATCTTTCAACATTTCATAGAGAATTTTTAAAAAATTGAAATTCATGTATTTTTTTAAATATTTGATATATTTACGATATTAAAAGACTTTTTTTAAGGATATTGTGTAAAAGTAGAAAATATATTAGTTTTTATTAAATAGATTGGTCTATTTTATATAAAATTTATTTCATTCATGAATCAAAAATTAAAACATGGAAAATTAAATTTCCCATCAATTAAATAAAAACATCTCGTTCTGTGATTCGGAAATTAAAAATACTATACTTTGATTAAAAGATAGAAAATTGAACAATGTATGTATTCTTGAGTTCACTATTTCTTTTAATTAGATGTAATATATATCCAACTTTTTAAGAATAAAAATTCAATTTCGCCAATTCAATTTCGTGCCTTTTTTCCGAAGACAGCTTGACATTTATTATAATAATTTCGCTTATTTACAGGGTAACGACGAGTCTTGTCTGTCCATCTTGAACAACTTTTACAACGACGGTATCAAGTGGCACGACGTGGCGTGTCACCACGTCAAGCCTTTCGTGTGCGAGGATAGCGATGAGCTTCTTAACTTCGTCGCGTCTCGGAACCCAGGTATCCGTTTGTGAAAGGCGACTGCGGCGATCTCTGGCAAGCAAGCTATCGTCGTACATTGAAGAATTGCGAGGATAAACCAGGACAAAGGCGACGATATTTCAGACGTACCGTGTACTCTTTCTCTCTCTCTCTCTCTTTCTTTCGTCGTATTTTTATTTATAATTACACTAACCAATACTCTCTTTAATACAAATCGCGATTGTAGTAGTACCGCGAAATTTTCACCGTAAGCGAAACGATTGGTAGATCGAAGTAGGCCGTAAATGCATTTAGTATTATATATACATAATTCTTGTAATTTTTATATTCATTTCGTACGAGAATAAATGCATTTTTATTTGTATTTAAGATTCATTGCTTCTTCCCTGTACTCATATATTTCTTTTTTCTCTGCTTTTTATATTTTATAATAAAGATATTTTTTACAAGTTAGAATTTACTCAAAACATTGTTTTCAGTATGTATGCAATAAATTAACAAAAGAATACATGTAATTATAGTTTATTAGTATTAATTTACTGAATATAAAAATTATTCGTTTTATACAGTTTATATATATTATATAATGTAATTTTCAAGTCGTATATTTTATATAATTTGGTTTTTAAATGTTGTCTCATTTCGCACACCGTGCGCGCGAAAGAAATTAAATAAAATGGTCAATATATTCAAGAATGGAATTTATTGGATCAGTAACACAAGTACCTGTCAAAGAACATCATATTTGACCTCTACTTAGCGGTAGAGATAACAGAGAGAAGCGCGAACACTATCCCCACCGTGCCGCCGCCGTCATCTCTTAGACTTGCAAACCACACATTTGATTGGCTGCGTTCAGCAGAGAAAGCACTCATTGTCAGTTATCGTCTTATCAACACTCGTTGATTGGTTCTAGAAGTAAAAATCTGAGTAGTTCAATCAATTTCTTAAATTATATCTATATATTACGTTGCTGTTGCTGCGCGCAACTTGTCGCGAAACACTACCATGTCTCTTGATGTTTTTCAAAAGAGTGGCTTTATGGAGGTAAGTAGTAACAGAAACCTTTCTCCTAATTTTAATTTTATATTTTGAAATATATATTACCACATCGTTATCTCGTTTAACTATGTATTAAGATTCGGCGTTTTTCATTAATGAAATCTCTCATCATTCTGAGGTCTTCATTCCCATTTTGATTCACTCTATTCTGAAATATATCATAATTATTATTATAATTATTATCGATATTTGTTTTGGATGAAAGAGAAATAATTCTCTCAGAATTTCTATTTCTCTCTTAAGCCTTTCTTGATGAACACGTCACAATTTGTAGATGGGAAGATCTGATTGGTTCGAGAATTCGAAACTTCTTTTAATAGGAATATAATATCAAAATATAAACAAATTAAAAATAGCATTTACGAGCAGTCTTTAAGGTCGGATCTACAATAGGTGTAGTAAGTCTCAAGCCATAAGAAATTGATCAATCACAGTCAAATCTGAGGAGAATATCAATGAGGAGATAATCAATTGTTATTGGTAATTTTTTTACGGCTTGAGGCTTACTATACCTATTGTAGATTGTAGATCCGGGTTAACGTGCGTACCTTATTGTAATTAGTCAACAATTATTACTGTGAAAGCGAACGTTTTTCGGACCCTTTCTTTGGACCATCTTCAAGAATACAGTATTTTTCTCTTCTTTTACCTCTTTCGGAAAAAGGCATGACAGATTTCCTAACCTTCACAAGTGGCATCTTTGTTTAGGAGACGCTATCAGTGCTAACAGCATCGCTCTATCTTTATTACTTACCGAAAGTTGAACAAGGACAGAACGTAGTGCTAAAAGCATGCTTCTTGAACCTAGCCTTTAACGCTTAATAACTCTTTTTACACTATCAAGCAACAATTTTTACTTTTCAAATCTTTGCTTTTATGCAAAGACATCGATTAAATGCATTTATCAAAATTTAAATAGAACAGGTGAAACTAAACATTTACATCAAAGATTCTAGTCGCTTAAAAAATGCCTGTTATTGTCGAAAAATCTGCAACTGTGTATAATCAAAAGGTAAGATAAAGTGTGACAGACACGCAATCAACATAGAAAAAAATAGAACAAAAAAAGAAACAAATCATATATTAGTGAAATGATTTAAACATAAAAAGACACTTGTGAATTTTTCAAACAGGATCATGAAACGTCACAAAGTTCCTTACTTCAGAATCATCGAGTACAAAAAGTAGTTGAATCTCTCAATCATGAAGGTAATATTCATGGATATTTAACAATTTAGAGCAATATAATATATCAATGAATAAAATCATCCATCTGTATGTTAAAAGTCTATATTGTATTTAGTTTCAGATATTATTCCTACTACAGTCATAGGAATTAAAGTAACGAGTATACAAAATCCACACATTATAAGAGTTTATGAAATTAAACAGTATGCAGACAAACTTGATAGAATTCAAAGAAAATTGTTGAGTTTCATGAAAACTGAAGATTTTTTGAAAGAGAAACATAATGTAGAAAATCCTAAAGTTGGTGATGTAAGTTTTATATCTAATATTGTATTTAAATTATAATTAATATAGCAATTAATATCACACAAATTAATTGCATTATATATACTTAATATAAAAAATCTTTTCTATTATATTTATTTGCAGACAGTTCTTATACAAAGTAGTCAATGTACGAGTGAGGTGGAGTTACCATCATTTGTTTGCCGAGGTTTAATAACGCACATTAAAAAAGAAAACGAGATATTATATTATATTCTTTTGGTGGATCATGGTACTGGCATAGAATTAACTAGGGATCAATTTTGTGTGGTGCCATATAACTTTATTCCTGAAGAATATTTAACAAAAACTATCGGTGTGTATAATATTTTGCCAATTCGCATGAAAAAGGATGTTTCAAGTGATTTCAATAATTCAAACTCTGCAGCAATGTAAGTTTTGTCATTTTTAATACTATTTCTTTAATAAAACGTTATTCAAAAATAGCTATTATTTAAAGTGTTGTACCAGAATGGAGCGAAGAAGCAATTCAATATGCCAAAGATTTGTTGCATGGATCTAAAGTCATATACTTTAACCATTTAATCACGGATGAGAAGAATGGAAGAGAATATGGGGAATTTTATATTACCTTTGATAATGTTGATATCATACCGTTAAGTGAAGCTTTAACTATTAATTATTATGCAATTTACATGAAAGAAGGTATATACATAGAGATATTATTGTAACATAATATTCCTATATGAAAGATTTATCCATTAAAATATATTTAATAACATTCATGTAATGTACAATGTTTCATAGTGTAATTATTATCTAGATTTATTACAACTTTTTGAAAACTATACTCATTCTAAGGAGAATATAAAAGATCACATTATACATATAAAGTTTTCACATAATAGAAGAAATAGAAATAATGCAATACAAATTGTTAATCATGCACAAAAAAATTATCCCCTTAGAGAATTATATCTAAGGTAAAAATATTTTTTTCAAAATTTATAGTGATTTATATTTCTTATATTTCTTACCATATTTTTTCTTTTTATCAGTGAGAAAGTTTTGATACAGAGCACAATAAACTGTGGGATTTTAAGTGATGTTAGAGATCTTGGATATCCTAAAGGAATACATGAGGTAATATATAAGTATATAATAATGTACTTGAGTGAAATTTAATAGTTGGTATGTAATTGATTAAGAGGATGTACTAAGAGAGAGAATACATGTATAAAATATAATAATCTTTTAATATCTTTATTTTAGGGTTGGAATGAATATATCAAATCTTCGAGACCAAGAAAGCTTCAGTCATATATATGGCCAGCTATAAATAATGGTTTAAATGTTGTAGCTATTGGATCATCGCAATGTGGTAAAACTAGTGGATGTGTAATGGCTGTTTGTGGTCTAGTAGCTATGCGTCAAAATGTAACAATTTTCTTTATTTATAATAGAGAATAATTGAGAATATTAGAGTTTAGCATTCTGAATTGTCTTATCAAGTCGCAACATAAGTGAAATATTAATTTATATTATCAATAATATCCACATAATCTTTGAAATTGATACATCACAATATTTTAGGAAGTATCATATAGCGCAACTCGTCCACTAGCATTAATTCTGTGCTCCTCGTCTCTTGACGTAATCAGTGTTCACTCAATGTGCATGTCATTCCTGCGTTCTTTTGACAATATAAATGCTGTACCAGCATTTAATGGCATGACGTTTATATCAGTGGCGGTAAATTTATTTATATACGCTTTCAGAAAATATTTAGTAAACATTTCATCAAGAAATGATACGTGAAAAGTAATCACTTTTGCTTTTTTTCAGGCATCCATTTATAAAGGATGTCAAATCCTAGTAGCTACACCGCGATATCTAGCTCGATTCTTGAACGAAAATAAAAATTTACTGTCATTTGACAATCTCTGTTATTTAGTTTTGGACAATGCTGATACAATTTTAAATAACTATTACGATTCGGTAAGAGAGAGAAAAGGAGTTGAATTATATTAATTTTTTTTTTAAATTATATTATTAGCATTATTTGAAAAATCTAATAAGAAATTTTAATAGATAGGAGAACTGTTTAAGAAACATAACATCATCAAAAATCGTGAAGCACAACATAATAAATTATTACAAATAATAATTACGGGAACAACATGGACACGTGACATGAAGAAATTTATTTTGTATGCAATGTATAATCCGTTTATATGCATAGCATCATTCCTAGAAGCCATTATCTTTAAATCTGTGCATCCACAACTATATATTTTGAAATCTATATATAAAAACCAAAAAATATCAGGTAAGAAAACTATAAGATTGGTACTTATGTGTTTGGCTGTATTAATGTTGATTACCTATAGTGTAAAAAAAATATTATCTTTTTATTCTTTTTTAATAAACTATTAGATATGATAAAAGATGATTATATTACATTGAAAACAATGATAGTATGTATAAATGCCGAAGAAGCCGAAGAGTTAAATGCCTTTTTACTTTCGACAAAAAAAACTCTGCTAATTCACGAAAAGATGAAATCATCTGATATACGAGGTACAAGAGTGACATTTTGATTACATCCAGAATATTTTATTTTATCTTTATATTTAGATTTACTAATAATTAATTTAATTAGTATGTTTTTAAAAAACTGTTCTTAATTGAAAATTTGCATGTACTTTGCAGCTTTACAAGAAAATTGGAAAGCATGTGTACGTGGTTTATATCCAGTACTTATATGTACTGATGCAGTTCTATCTGACTTAAATTGTACTAATATTCAATGGCTGATACACCATTCTGTACAGTTAAAATTAAAAAATCTATTCAATTATAGATTCTCTGTACTTTTAGATAATTTGACACAGGTAATCGCTAAAATATACCTAAAATTAAAAATAAAAAGAATTTTTCTGTTCTTGGTTTATTAAGCACACATACTATGATACTATTTAATATTTATATTTAAATATATATATACTATCATACACACACACATATATATGTATCTATGTATCTATGTATATATTCTGCAATTAATATATTTTTATAAATTTAAGGATGCCACAAATTGTAAATTTAGTATACTTATCGATGAAAACAATAATCTACAATTTCCGAGTTTAATAAGAATGATGCAACGGATGAAAGTTGTGATATCTTCAGACTTGTTGGATAAAAGTGATGTAAGTTAACAAAATATTATTTGTTAAAATATCAATATTGAGTTTCTATAAAAATATAGTTTTTTATAAAATATCATTGTAGCAAATAGCAATTACGTTAGAGAAGGATAAAAAAGAGTATGCTATATGTGATAATGTGAAATCGTTTGGCTTCTGCCGTGAGAAAAACGTTTGCGTATTCAGGCATTATATGCTTCCTAAAATTGATGCACCAATGACAAACATACAGATGTAAGTAATTCTCTATTATTTAGTGTATCGATATATAATCAATGTATATTACAAGATCTCATTCTCACAGAAATGATAAGGTGATGTTGATGCTGATGTATGTTCACGATACGACACATTTCTCTGCAAGAATAATTGAACACATGCCACAATCGAATGAGTCAAAGCAAATAAAATTTTTTGACACAGAGTATATGAAAATTGCATTTAAAATACAAGAATATTATCAAAATGTCGAAAATAGGTATATATGACATTAAATAATTTTTATTTTTTAAAAATATTATATTGTGTCCATCCTACATTTTTTGAGCTATTTATGATATATTTTCTTAATATAAACAATTATTACAGAAAAGTATGTATCTCGACGAATGTAGGTGATATCTGTGGTCTAGAGGAATCTATCGACACATTTAAACGAGTACAAATTATGCGCATTAGAAATGATAAAAATATTTCTGAAGATAAAGTGAAGTTTGTGGATGTGAGATGCATTGATAGTGGTATTATACATGAACATGTTAATGTAAGATCACTATTTTATAAAGCCTATCGAATCACGCATTAAGTATTCAAATGAATAATATAAAAATTATAGTCTCTATGTATGTGTGTGATAGGTTCAGATATAATTTACGATAATTATTTTTAATGTTAAATATGGGACGTATAAATGTGGGAGTCTGTAAGCATATTCTTATTGCTTTTTTTTTGTTATAAACTTATTGTTTTTGACATTTTAGGTATGCAAATTAATGCATATTCCAGAGGAATTATCAAATCTTCCAACACATATTGTTGAAATATTTTTAGTTGGTATAGAACCACATGATAAAGAATATATGTGGAATTATTATACTAATCAAGCAGTTCATGAATGGTTCGAAAAAAATTTCGATGAAAGGTCTTATATTATTGGGAAAGTAAGTTTTTACACGATTATGAGTGAGAAATATACAATAGAAAAAAGAAAATACTCCAATCAATTATTCACAGGTTTGTCTTCATCTTGGAAATACAATATGGTTAGATGATCTCCAAATTGGAACAAAATTGCTTGGCTACTCTGACATAATAGGATCTTCTTTGAAAAAGGAACTTCTAGTTAAAAATTTTGCTATTTTGAATGAAAATCACATACCAGACCTGTTTAAACTTTGCAAGAACAGTGGTTTGATAGAAACCAATGGGCATGACATTAATGTAATGCCTAAATAAAGTATGGCTTTTTTGCTATCATTTGTATTTGTTATATTTGTATATTTACAAAACCACATAATAACATTTAAGAAAATTAAACCTCTTGATATACACTTGTAAGAAAAAAATTGATACATTTGATATATTTCTGCTTTTAATATTTTTGATATATTTCTGCTTTTAATATTTTAATATTTTTATTTTGTACTTTTGATACTTTTGTTAACTTTTTTGGGACTATTGTACTTAATGAACTATGTGAATAAAAGTGAATCATTAATTTCTCAACAGAAGATAGACAGCATTTATTTACCTATTAAAAATCAATGTCAGAACATAAAAAGTAGGATACAGATAATACAAAAACGCAAGTATGCTATATTATTAACACAATATCGAACTTTCGATACAAGGTTTGTATCAATAACATAGCACAGACGACCAGGTCTTTGCTATCTCATTCTTCCCGCTTGATTAAATTCGTCTCTGTCTAAAATCTCGGAATATATTTCTGCTTTTATGTCAACTTACATATTATAAAAAAATAATTGTTAATTAGAAGGATAAATTTATTATAATATTGATTTTTGTGCAAACTAATATTTTTCAAATTTTTCATATTTGTGTAATTTATGTTTTATATATTCATCCAAGTCTTTTTGAGAATATGTTATTACAGTGACCTTTGGTGGCAGGCCGACTTCTTTTAACATTTCAATCCGTTTTCGTAGAGTTTCCGTATTGAAATAAAAAACTCGTGCATGACGTAATATTTCATCACCCATTATGCCATTCCGTTGTAGTAAATCAACCAATTGATTTATTTTTTGTACGTTTACCCGTAGGATGGTCGGCCATTTTGCAATCGCTTCTTCAAGGAGTTTTTCATCGACGTTTAATTTATTGATTAAATATTCTTTAATATCTTGATGATCTTGCAATACTTCTCGTTGTAGATGACTTTTTTCTATATGTCTATATAAGAAATAATTTGAAAATATAGTCAATATGTTTTATAATTATTCTTTATATTACTAGGCTTTCTGTTATCATTCTTATGACTTTCATGTCATTATTACATACCGTTCAAAGGACTGCTCAGCTAATGCCAGCACAGCAAGTCTCGGAACAAGACGTTCTTTCTTCAAACGTTCAATTCGGTTCTGTACAGTTTCTACGTTGAAATAAAAAATTCGTATATGTCGTAATATCTCATCGCTAGTAATTCCATTTTGGTGTAATATGTTAATTAGCCGATTCAATTTCGATAAGTTCACCCGTAAAATACCCGGCGATTTCGTGATCGCAAGGTTGAGCGTTTCTTCATCGACCATTAATTTACTCATCAAAAATTCGCTAACACTCGAATGATTCCTCATTAAACCGCGTTCCACATTATTCCTTTGAATTGCTCTGTGTACATGAAGAAATCGATGATAATTTACATTGCTCTTTTCAGTTTACGTGCATGTCGAAAAAAATTTGTGCAAATATCTTTTTCTTTCATATTTAAAAAATATAAAATTTAAGTTAAGAAAACGACAGGAATGTAGAATGGCAAATATAATATCTTAAATCTAGTTTTGACAAAGTGACAGTAATAAAATATACAATAATTAATTTCAAGAATAAAATAGCTATAATATAAAAGGTAAGAATAGAAAGATTCTATTAAGGTAACCTACCTTGCTATAACTCTAAGGGGACATCTTATAGCCCATGTTTTTACCTCTAAATTTCCTGTATCTTTATACAATTCACATCTGTGACGTATATGATTTTCACTGTATCGAAGTACCCATAAATCTTTCAATATATGCTTGTTATTTACATCATATTCTGTAAAAATAGATTTTATTTAGTTTATTCAAATATTTATAGACGTTTTTCCTATTACAATTCAATTTTTTTATATGACTTCCTTACCATGTAATATATTCAACTTTTTGTCTATGTAAGAAATTGGAATTTTCAATAAAAAAGTATACCGTACTGTTAATTCGCATAATTTTTCTATGCTACACTGGAAAGAAATATTATCTTAAAACATGTATATAAAATCATATATAACATAATATAGTATATTATTGAATCATAATGAATATTTGTATCATAAATAACTAAACTTTATTTTTGATTTTCCATATTTCAAATATAAATCTTCTTATAAGAAAAAATTATTTTTTATAATATGTTCCACTTTTGCAATTTACTAACAATGCATTTGCACACTAATATACCCAGTGATTCAATATTCATTACATTAAATTTGTACCTCTAATCTATGAGCAAGATGTTCAATCTTGTTGTAAGTATAAGAACCCATATCATTTTGCGTATAAAATACAAAATTTGCTAATTCCTCTTGAGTCAAACGTAACCATGGTATAAGTTGATCATTGTTCATATTAAGTACTTTAATACAATCGAGCTTATCTTTGAGTTTATTGTTTTCATGTGCCAATAACCAGGCATTCTTCACAATAATACTTTTCTGCACACCAGCGTCTATGAGATTGTAATAATTGTTCAAAACATTTGCTCTGGTTCTCTTTTTAAGTTGAGGATTGTCTGCGATAATTTTGTTAGTCTCAGCTGTTGTTGTGTCCAATATTTCTTTAAGAGTTTGCACCATAATTCGTATGATAGGCTTGTAATTTATTACATACGCATTGTAATTTGATATTTCGCAAGTATGATCCCCCAATAAATCCACATCTTTGCACAGTAATTTGTTTTGTGAAATAAATCTAACTGGCAAATGTGATGGCACAGCAAGCTTCAAAAGTTGCAGGTGAGGCTGACGTTTCAGCAGG